TGGAAATTGTGCAATGTGCTCTGACATTTGTAACGTAATGTACATTGAAGTGTATTTGATGTTGGAGGGTTTCTGTCTGGCCTGATGAATGTAAGTTTAACTGTCGCTTGGGGCCTTAACTGACAGCTGTGAGGAAGGGTTGGCATTAGAATTCTCAGTATGCAAAGTATATAAGGTTTGCATATTTTGATTGTTGGGGGCAGGTTTGGAATTTTCAGTTAGACAGTGTGGTTGGCTGGAACTGGAGGGGCCAGAAGAAGTGCTGGTCAGCAGAGGGGAGTTGGTGTTGTTGGTGCTTGTGGAGTCAGCCAGAAGAAGAAGATGGCAAAAGATGATTGGAGAAGACGGAAGACCTAAGATGCACTTGGAGTTGCTTGGTAGCCTATGACTTGATGGGTATAGCTGAAGAGGCTAAGCTGTTTTAGGCTGAAGAAACCAGGGAGAACCTGCAGTGCTTAGAGAAGTGAGAAGCAGTCTGGAGTATAGGTCACTGGTGTCTGGCAGTAGAAACACCAGAGGGATGACTACCACTTCCGGGACAAGTACAGAAAGGCAAAGTTGCATTTCAATAGGTCAGTAAAGGGTTGGGGAAAGAGGCTTCCAGCAGAGCCCTCAGTTATGGTGTTGGTGAGGCTTGACTGGGGTGGAGGGGTGGGTAGAAAGGGCAATTTTTATAGGGTAACTAGCTTCCTTAAAACCACCTTAGCCTAACATTAACAGTTGAATATAAGCTGTTGGCATATAAACTGACAGTAACAAGTTAACATAGTTCATACTCATTTAATCATACAGTACTATTTAAAATAGTCAGATAAGCTTGTCCTAACTTTGTAATAAACATACATACCTTTGTTAAATATAGCATTTGTATATGACAGGCTTCGTACTATGCTTGTACCCCACAGTTACAAGGTTATTGGTAAGGGTTCAGCGGAAAGGAGAGAGTCTGAATGGTGGCAGTGGCACAGATTAAGTAGAACCATTCAACCAAGGGGGGTGCTTTGTTATTACAGTGCAAGTCAATACTCGCCTTCCCTCCATAGAGTGTAGGAACATTTTCTCAAGCATTCCTGTCTTCAGTGTTACTATGGAAAATGCAAGTAATAGGTCAACAGAGTAATAATGTACATACAGCACTGCACAATATTCAATATGTTTGAATACACTATTCAGTTATACATCTTACTCTTGGGCTTGGTAATTCCTGACCAGTCACTATGCTGGCTGGAGTTGTTGAAATCCAGCAACATCTGAAGGACACAGGTTCCCCATGTCTGCCTTGCTTCATGTTTACCAAGTTTTCCCAGTCCCATATGTTTCTAATGAGGAGCACATCACTACTGAGCCAACAAGTTAACCAGTTTGGAAAATTTGATCCTTACTTTTATCTATTGCAATTCCAATGCTTCAGTTTTTCAGAAAAACTTTCATATCCCACCATAAAAGCACATTGAACTAGCAATTTTAGCAATTGAACTAAAATTGACCATAGACAGGATCTGCTAGAACAGATCTTGCACATCTTGCATTCATTACTCTTGCTCCAGCCCCTCTGCAGTTCTTGATTCTGAGCAAAAAGATAAACCTGGAGCACAAATGGAACACAAAGAGATAAAACTGGAGCACTAAGTAAGAAGCTCCACACCAAATGGCAATTAGTCTATCTACCCTTTTTGGAGGGGCGCTATTTTTCCTAAGTTAAATGCAAGCCCTGTAAAGGACAGGAGTGGCATGAGCACCAGAGTTGGGGAAAGACTTCAACATCACATTTCCACAGCATCTCTCAGCTCTCAACGGAGACAAATTAATAGTTTGTACTGAAAATTTAAATGGGAAGTTAAAAGGCTTGGGTTAAAAAAAAAATTATTTGCTTTGCTCTCCTAAAATGAACATATGCATTAAAGAGGAATAGAAATCAACTTTATAGATTTCACCACAGCAAAAGTATGTAGAAGTATGTAAACCTACATTATGCACACAAAGTGATGAGAATTCTAGGGAGATATAGATACAAGGAATTTAAATTCCAAATTATTTTGGTGAGGCATCCCTTTGCTTGTCATTATTTTTGATTTGGATTTGTCATGGCCGATGGCTAGTACAATAAAAGTGGATTGGACTGGACAACAAAAATTCTGTCATTCCTATAACTATTGGAGATGTTGACTGGGTCTGATGGATACTGTAAGCCAAACGATCTGAAGGGCACTAAGTTGGGGAAGATACAGACAGTATATAATACTAAGCAAAAAGACCACATTATCCTGAATAATATATTCATGTGTAAAAGTTTATTTCACAAAGAAATATTCTGGCATCAAGTCAATCCATGTTTCTAACCTTTCTCTCTCTATATATATATGCAGTATAATTCTCAAAACACAGGTTTAACCATTAAACATCTGTTTACTAAACCTGTGGTTTTCACACATGAACCTTACACACCATTTTGGAAAGTAAGAGACAATACATCACGGCTTGGTACCTGGATCTTTGCTTGCAATAAAGCTTGTTTAAATAAACAGAGAAAAGAAGCAACCTAAGTTGATTATCCAAACAACGCAGGATAAACTTTTTGGGTCCATGTGGATTAAGGTGCTTTAGCATCAGCACAGAAAGCAAAGTATAGAAAAGGAGCGGGAAAGCACAGAGGATCTCATTAAAAATGCCAATGAAGCAATAAACTGTTATCCTTCCATCCCCATTTATATCTCAGAACCTCAATGCTTACTTGGGATCACAAGGTTCTGGAAGAAAATAAACATGATGCAGTAATCTAACACATACACACACCAAGACAGTGTTAAAGATAAAAATATTAATCTCCCCCACCCCTCTATAACAAAGTAAGCTTCTAATGTAATTCAGTACAATATTCTAAAAATCAATGTAGATCCCAGTGTTAAAATTGGTTACTTGGAATCAGGTCACACAAAATCCCCAAACTTCCATGGGACACCAGAGTGTGATTTTAAGCATCTTGCTCAAAAGTACATTCCACTGAAATCAATGGGATATAATTCTAAACAGCTACATACAGGATCACAGGTACTGTTAAGCTTAAATATGGAGGATTTATATTAACTAGAACTGAACTATAACCAAGTAAGCTTTTTAGGGTATCTTGGTCCAGGAAGATATCTGTTTACAAAATATTCTTTGCCACTGGTTTATATTAGATGGAATTTAGTTGGAAGTGCTTGTACAATATATCAGCTTACAATATAAAGAGGCTTTGGATCAGGTTGCAGTTACGTAATTCTTTTAAGAAACCCATTGTGCATGCAGCATATTGGCAACAACAAAAAAGAGGTCAATATCTTCAGTGCTTACTTTTTTGGCATGTTGAATATTCACTCGTATTATTTAGCAAATTCTGCTTGTCTATTTTACTGCTTTTTAAATGTTAATTAAAATGGTAAAAGTAGCAGCCAACAATAAAGTCACTATACAGTAACTAAACTGGGGGGGCGGGGCGGCATGTATTGAAGCAAACTAAGTATGTGAATTAAACTCTTTCTGGAGGCAGTGCTAACATTTCAGTCCCTGAAACGGGGATGGTTAAGCATAGAAAATGAGTGGTATTGGGAGGTGCCGCTACAGAAAGCCTGAAGAAGAACACTAAGCAAACTCTTACAGTCCATTCCATGTATTTCTTTCTGTTCGGGGATGTATCTATTCTGTATTATTATTGTTGTTATTATTTATTAAATATGTATACCGCCCTATACCCGCAGGTCTCAGGGTGGTTCGCAGGCTAAAATCACAATATAAAAACATAGAATCAAAATAAAAACAAAAACTATAAGCTGTATGAATGTTAAGAATGTGTATGATTAGGAAACTTTTGCTTCAGCAACTAGATTAGGTGAATTGGAAACTAAGCTATAAGAAAGACGAGGTGGACAACATGAAATAACTATATTATGTTTATTTTAAGGTACAAACAACTGAGACACAGTATTTTGATTTTAGAAACATAATATTTGAAAGATACAGTAAGACATGAAAAAAGGTAACAAATTGCTGATGTTTTTATTGCAAAGAATGCAGGGTTCGGAAGATGTGGGGAAGTCCAGTTGGAATGGTAAAAATATTCTGGAAAGTTGGTTTTTATGTATTTCTTTTTCTCTTTGTTCTTTTCTTTTTTCTTTATTCTGTAAATTTCTGACTGTTTGAAAGAAAATTTAATAAAACATTTTATAACAAACAAAACAAAAACAAAATAAAAACAAAAACAACCCAATAACTACCGCCCAAAAAAACACATTTTATAAGGGCACTGAACGTCAGTCAACCAAAGGCCTGGTTAAAGAGGAAAGTTTCAGCCTGGCGTCTAAAGGTGTATAATGAAGGCACCAGGCGAACCTCCCTGGGGAAAGCATTCCACAAACGGGGAGCCACTGCAGAAAAGGCCCGTTCTCGTGTTGCCATCCTCTGGACCTCTCGTGGAGGAGGCACACGAAGAAGGGCTTCAGAAGATGATCTCAGGGTCCAGGTAGGTTCATATGGAAGGAGGCGGTCCTTGAGGTATTGCGGTCCTGAGCCGTTTAAGGCTTTATAGGTCAAAACCAGGACTTTTAATTGGGCCCAGAAACTAATTGGTAGCCAATGCAGTTGGACCAGGAGCAGAGTAATATGCTCAAACCATCTTGTCCCGGTGAGCAACCTGGCTGCTGAATTCTGCACTAACTGAAGTTTTCAAACCATTTTCAGAAGCAGCCCCACGTATGATGCATTGCAGTAATCTAACACTAAGATTATCAGAGCACTGAATTATTATTATTAATCATATTTTAGTTGCTTTCTTCGCAAAAGCAAGTTTCAAAAAATTCCAAAAGTCTCTGCAGGCAGTTTGTACACAAGCGTCTCTGGGTCAGAGCAATTATATGCAAGTCTGTTCTCCTAATCTCAGTGGAACTAATTTTCAGGTAAGTATTTGAGAACTGTGACCTAAAAAATATGTTCTAGCTGCAATTCCCAGTTCTACTGCATTTTTATTTATTTATAATGGCTTGCTCTAAAAAAAGGTTACATTCATCAGCCATTAGTCTGCATATAGATATTCCTCAATAATAACACTAGGAAGTACTTATTAATATTTTCAAACTGTTCAAGACACCCCACAAAAGACAATCATTCTAGTGAATTTTCCTACTACTGAGCTGCATCTGAGTTTGCTTTCATGCTCCAATGATCTCATCAGAACTTACTATTAATATGATTATCACTACTTTATACACTGCTTACTTACCAAAATGCCTTCTAAGTGGTTTTAAGTAGATATGTATAAGACTGCACTATCTGCTTCTTATTTTCCCTCAATGAACTCTACCTTAGTTTTCCTAAATTTTTGAATGGAGGCCACTCTCTTCTATCAACCAAGAAATTTTCAGTGCCTATATAAAAAGCTCATGTATCTCACTGAGCTTTATTTTTTCCACTTTTATATCAAGGTAACGGCTAGCATGTGGTGGTTTCTAGTCTATCGTTTCTTTGGCATTTGCTTATGAACATGATATTTCTACATCTGCTCGTAAAACATTATTATTTGGACGGAATTTTACAACAGCAGACCACAATAAAACCTGTCAATCTATTAAAGTACAATAAAATATTTACAATGGGTGTGATTCAACTAACCAGCCCCATCTGTGGAAGCCCTGTGCTAGGATTTTTGTTTGCACAATGGGGCTTTCTCCTGCCCTCTCCCTGTGATCCCCAAAATTGGTTCTGGGGAGACCAGGAGAATTCCCAAACAGTAAGTGTGTGGGGTGGAGAGGGGGAGGCATTGTTCCAGCTGGCAGACTGGAACAATTGCACAGATAGAACGACTGGAAAAGTGTGATGTTGAATTCCACCCATAGTGTTTTATCAACACTAGTGGAAAGATAACTTGCAATTTAATTGAATAATTTTTCACCTCTGAAGGAATGATGTCAAAAAGAATGCTTATATTTTTCCCTCCCTTGGTACTTGACATATAAAACCCTAGTACATTCTACTATAACTTATCATGCTTGATATGTTTATAACCTGACATTTTAGTTTTACAATAGCCCAGAGACACACAAAAATTTAGATGAGTGGGCTCTGATGTGCAAAATACAGTTGCCTGTGATTCCAGGCTATGTTTCTATCAGTATTTCAGTACTTACATTTGTTCTGAGGCACATTCTTTGGCTACATTCTGTAGTCTAAACAAATAAATAAAATGGCAGTGACTCTGAAGTAAAGACTACATTATTTCAAAAAAAGTGACAATACTTCTTTGTAGGGTTTTTTTGTTTGTTTTTTGTTTGGTAAGGCAAGATAGTACAAGTCCTTTCAAGAGAGATGCTTTGTTATATCCATAAACGGTAAAACCCCAGTGCGACTGTAAGGCATGTAAATACTGAACCTGGAAGAAAATAAGGGTGGAGAAAAAAGAATGCATACTGTCAGATTTTAATTCTTTTGAAAATGAAAGTCTGGCTAAAGAAAAGTATTTTTAACGCTTAATCATTTTACTTGGATCTTGCCTGCACTGTTAGACAACATGGAAACCGATAGGATTTGCATGATTCAGGCTGGATCAAGGGGGCAGGGACGAGATGGGGCACGTGCCCCTGGCAAAAGAGTCGCAGGGCTTGCTGTGCCTGCTCTTATGTGTGTGCCCCTACCCTAGACTTTTCCTTGCACTAGTGTGGAAAGAAGATTGAAAGGATCAGCGTGGTATTGGCTTTCCAAGCTTTCCAGGTGCACACAACACCAGCAAAAGTAACTCTTAGTAACTCTTAGACACAAAAGCCATCACACTTGATACAAAGAATATGAAACACGTGCATATGAGTACCAGACAACTGAGACAGTTACTAAGCATCTGCACCATGACAGAACTACATACCTGCTAAATATTTAATGGTGTCAAGTTTGTGCGATTCAAGCATTGTTTTCAGGCCTGCAACTTCAGTGTCTATTTTCCTGTACGTCTGTGTTAAAGCTCTGTCCTGTTGGGCATGCTTTAAAAAAGAAAAAAAGGGAACAATATCTCAATACAGTTTAAACACTACATTCACATCTCTAAAAAGCAATACAGTACTGTAACTTTTAACAGAGTGAGACCATCTAACAAAATGTTGCTCCCCCTTCAGCATTCCAGCTCCTCCATTGCACTCTCTCTCACCATGATCTTCTGTTCCCTCTCTCCAACAGGCAGGCAGTATTCCATGCCCACTAAACATGCTCAGTCGTCTTTGGGCTGCTTCTGCAATTTTCCCCTCCCCAAAACTCTTTTTTTCTGATGAAGGCAAGGTTTTTATTTTCTGCAATACTCTGCCAGTTGCTTGTGTCCAACATTATATTATGGTTGGACACTTTTTGGTAGATTCTCTCCACTCCACTTGGGAATTAGCTTTAAAAGTCACTTCTGCTAAGACTATAATGCACACACAAACCTCACTTCCATGCTGTGCAGTAAGAAACGGGATTTCCTTCTCACCTTGTGGGATGGAAGCAATAGGCAATCAGGCTAGCAAAGCAGAGCAAAGCACTCTGTCGTTGCTTCACCAATGTGATCTACTTCTAGACGCCACTGCAGGAGTGAAGCCACTTCTACCACTCAACACTGAAGCTGACTGGCCTCACAAAACAGGGATAACACACACAGTTTTGCCAGCATGATAGTTAGAACAGGGACACTGAGGACTGTGAGCTGGGGAAAGTCCAGTAGGGCAGACCACCTTTAGCCAATGGGTCAGAGGCTCCCCCCCCCAAACTATATAGCTTGTGTGCCTAACCTAGTAAAGGTAAAGGAATTCCTGACCATTAAGCCCAGTCGCAGATGACTCTGGGGTTGTGGCACTCATCTTGCTCTATAGGCCGAGGGAGCCAGCGGTTGTCCACAGACAGCTTCCGGGTCATGTGGCTGGCATGACTAAGCCTCTTCTGGCAAACCAGAGCAGCGCACGGAAACGCCATTTACCTTCCCGCTGGAATGGTACCTATTTATCTACTTGCACTTTGAAGTGCTTTCGAACTGCTAGGTTGGCAGGAGCTGGGACCAAGCAACAGGAGCTCACCTCGTCACAGGGATTCAAACTGCCAACCTTCTGATCAGCAAGCCCTAGGCTCTGTGGTTTAGACCACAGCACCTAACCTAGTAGTATCATCTAATTAGCTTTCTCGGAGAATACCCAAAAAACAAAATAAGAACCTAAGAAGTTATTATGTTTCTATATATGGATGGAGTAACACCCCCACTCCAATGTGAATGTTGCTGTTATAGCAAGAGCACTTTTTAAGGGGAAGGGTTGTAGCTGATGGATGGAGGTGCATGTTACACATGGAAAAATGCCCCCGCTTCAACTCCACTATCGCCAAGCTGAGCTGAAAAAAGATTCTCTGGGCAGGTTTAAAGGTTACACTTTTATGAATGCTTCATCTGCTCAAGCATTCCAGCTTTCACCCTTCCTTTTACACTGATCCAGGGGTTCTCTCAATCCCTGCAAGCCAATTTTTTTGGGGGAAGGGAATGCAGGTGGAGAAGTGGGGAAACCCTGCTGTGTAAGTTTCTGTGCACAGCTTCCACTGGCGGGGCTCCTTGGGCAAATCTCACCTTCTGTCTGAAACAGATGCAGTGGATCATTTATTTATGGCTGCAATTTTAAGTCATTTGTTTTGGATGTAATCTCTTTTAATCTCAAATGGGACATACTTCAGAGTAAAAGTAATTAAAACTGAACCTGCATGCTTAGATTTTTAAAGAAAAAATGATTTTTTAAAAATTTTCATTGTTGGCTAGTTTGATTGTAATAAATGCTTCCTACACGCAAATACTGAACAAGCAGAAACAAGCCCAATTTGATTTATTTTCACACACATAAAAGCACCCTTCCCACATACTTAAAGCATCTCATGTTCAAACAGAGACAGTGCCAAGTAAAGCACACTATCTGCAATTATGCCTCCTTCTATATGCCCCCAAAGGCTCAGTAAATGCAAAAGGAACGATGGTGGTGTTATTCAGGCTAAAGGTAGCTCCCAAGAGGAAAAAGTTAGAACTGTAAACAGCGTGATGAAGCTAAGCCACTGACAACAGAAGCACACCAGATGGCTTATGCTTTTTCTCTATTCATATCTCAAAATACGGCTACATCAAATAATTATATATTTCATTGGGATCTTTTATAGACTTCAGGGTAAGTGTGTAGTTAGGTGACCAGCCACATTCACTTCAAATATTTTTTACTAGAAACTCTCAAAAATCTGTGAGGTTTTCATTCATATTGCTAGTGGATATACCTTATTTTTCCATGTATAAGACTAGATTTTTTTTCTTAAAAAAACAGTGTCCAAAATTTTGGGGCGTCTTATACATGGGGGCCATCTCCCCCATTTTCTTAAATCAGAGTCCCCCAAAATAGGGGGTGTCTTATACATGGGGGCCATCTCCCCCCATTTTCTTAAATCGGAGTCCCCCATGTCTTATACATGGGGGCGTCTTACAGACGGAAAAATACAGTATGTTTGTATTATGAATTAATCTGATGAGTTAAAATATACTTGAACATGTACAGTACTGCACTAACTTACTGGGCTTAATTCACAAGCAAATACCTATGCTATTTGTCCAAATCCAAAATTCTGAAATATACAAAAAAATTAAGGCTGACTGTGCATAAAATTAATCTTCCAGTTTTGCATGTTTCAAACCCATCTAAGCTTCATGTTTCATATTGAGTTGAATCCAGCATAGACCTAGGAGAAGTCCATTCTGCTCACACACCCAGAAGCGCTGGATTCAACCCATTGTGCTTACATGGTTTTAATAGCAATTCAATATCAAACTTTAAGCACCAGTTAACTGCCATTTTGCACTTATTTCTACTTCTACCACATGGATATTTAAATGCCATTCCCATAATGGTGGTATGCATGTAGGCCTATACAACAGATGTGAAGAGGACTATTACCCTGATTCAGCATTAAGTTCATCGTTCTTACCAATTCCACTACTTCTGTTCTCATTTTCAACTGTTTCCTCTCATTAAGCGAATACTGAAATTTAAGAACAATGGATTACCTTCCGTGTAAAATAACCAACACCTTTCATTCATGCGCATCTATGAATGTTAACCCACCTTCCAGTATTACTGGAACAACTTCTACTGCTCATTGCAATATAGCTCAGTTGGTTAGAGCACGGTGCTGATAATGCCAAGGTTGTAGATTTGATCTCTGTATGGCTCAGCTGCATATTCCTGCATTGCAGGGGGTTGGACTAGATGATCCTTAGGGTCCCTTCCAACTCTACAATTCTCTGATTCTTTTGTGTCGGGGTAGATAACCTTTTCCAGAGCAAGGGCCATGTTCCCTTGTTGCAAACCTTCCAGGACTCACATGACAAAGGTGGCATGGCCAAAGGCAAAAGCAGGCAGAGCAACAGGTGTTTTGCTTTTTTATACAGCAGGCTACCTTCCAGCTGTACAAAAATCTGAAGTTTATATTTACACACACCTCCATCCAGAGAAGCAAGAAGACCTACAGTTAAAGGACACAATCTAGCCAGGTAAAAGTACTTGAGGAGGCTTGCTGATGAGAGGTATGGCTGTGGGGGTGGGGAGAGAAGAGGGGCATTGTCTGGACAGAGTTCAATGGGCCAGATGAAGAGGTCTGGAAGGCTGCATTTGACCCTGTGTGTGTGTTTCTCTACCCCCATGTGATGGCCATACAAACATAACAAGTTAACCATCACCCAAAATATCAGCTGTTGAGATTTAACATTCAACGCTTACAAACCTACAATGAATTACAAATGCCCCTCAATATGTGTCAGAGGTTATTTTTGAACGTTGCTTGTTATGAAGCATTTACAGGATAGCAAAAGACAAGTTTTCTTATAAAAAAAATGCAGTACTGACAAAGTTCAGTGTTACAAAACACTCATCCTAAAGATCCTAAAATGTACACACATCAAGTTTTTTTTCATATTTCGCAAGATACTGACATTCTACAAACAAATCTGGTTTTAAATCCAGCATTATGTCTAATCACTCTACACCATTCCCACAGATGACTGCTATAACTCTTAAGACAAAAAGGCTAACAGATTAAAAATAATACTTTGCCTAAAGTTAAACTATACAGCATGGCAGATTCTGAACAACCAGTGTGGTGTAATGGTTAGTGTTGGACTATGACCTGGGAGACCAGGGTTCAAATTCCTACTCAGCCATGAAGCTGACTGGGTGACCTAGGGTCAATTGCTGTCACTCTAACCCTACCTCACAGGGTTGTTGTGAAGATAAAATGTGTGCAGGGAGGAGACCATGTACACCTCCTTTGAGCTCCTTGGTGGAAAAAATGGAATATAAATGTAATACATAAATAAATCTTAAAGAAAGACTACATACCAATTCTTTTGTTCTGCTCTTTTCCAAGTTGAAATCTAGCTTGCTGTCTGTACGAACTTTGGAAACTTCATCCTACAGAAAGATTAAACAATAAATAGACATACAAATTCTTAATTTCTTAAGTAAAGCACCACTGATTTTACCTGTCCATCATTCCCTACACTGGTTTATTTCAGTTGTTTGGGAGCGGGGGGAAATTCAGCCCTACCAAGTTCTTTCTGCAACTGAACTCCCACAACACCGAGGACTGCAAAAGTGCCTAACTGGGAACTATACTCAAATGTTTATAAAGGGTATGGGTGGCTCTAGATCAGTGTTTCCCAAACGTTTTTGGGCAACGGCACACCTGTTTACTGAAAAAAAATCTCGCGGCACACCACCATTAAAGCCCCGCCCCGTGACGTCAGCGCGCAGCGTCACGCCGGGAGGGACGCACAAAAGTGAAAGTTTTTTCCCTCCCCCTTGCTGGGGAACCTCCAAGCTTTGGGGGTGGGAGGAGGCAGCAGAGCGAGGGACTGAGGGACGGCGGCAACTGAGGCGGCGGCGGCTGAGGCAGAGCTGGGAAGGGGGTTTCCAGGGGACACGGCAGCTCCTCGAAAGGCTTCTCTCAGCTGCGCTCAATCCGCCTCGGAGAGGATTTCCCCTCCGGTCCCATGCGTTCGTTTGGGGCATCGCTCCGGCTGCTCCCTCTCCCGCCGCGCAGGAGCGATGCCTCTCTCTGGCTCTCCCTCCGCGCAGGCTGAGGGAGGGAGGGAGGGGCGCGTGTGACCCGTCTCTGCTGGGAGACCAAACCCAGCGAGGCAGAGTCGCGCGGAGGCGCCCAGGCAGCGCTGCCGGCTGCGAGGAGGAGCGCCAGGCAGCAGCAGGAGGCGCGGCCTCTCCTCGCCGCCGCCGCCCCGCCTCTCGCCGCCCGACTCGCCCACCTCCCTCCAGGCATCTCGCGGCACACGAGGCAACGTCTCACGGCACACTCGTGTGCCGCGGAACACCGGTTGGGAAACACTGCTCTAGATCCTCGTATCAATACAGCTAGTGAGGGTCTATCTTTCTAACACAAAGTGATCCAACTTTAGAAATTAACTGCCATAATTCTGAGCTCAAAACACAGTGACTGCAGCTATTATACAACTTCCTGTTACCTCAGTTACAGAAACACCAGTCAGCGAGTTACTTATTTAGCAGCTATAAATGGTTCAGCTCAGTGAGATGGTATTTTATAGTTTAACACCTGAACAATGGTTCCAACAAACCGACAATGCCACCATAAAGGTGCACAACAGACTACACATAAACAGGAGTTCATGAAATTATACTGTTTTATACAATTAAAGTGTTTTCATTTCCAAAAAAAAAAACCACATTTTGATCCCCAAAGGGGATACAGGCTACATTGAGAACTTAACTGAAGAAAGTGGTGTGACAAGAGCAGAGCAGTAATACTGCAAGGAAGACAAAGAAGTGAACTAAAAGAGGGCAAGGGAGCACATCCAAAGGGCATCCCTTCATGCACATGCTTGTCTCAAGAAAGATGGTTGCTATTGCCATGCTCTACCTCTCAACAATAACTACCCCAAACCTCAGGCCACAGGACTGCATGTGTCTAGGGATGAGAGAATTAGCTCTGTTTTATTGCGCTTTAAAATCCATTTCATTAGGCTTTTAGTTCTTTTATGATCCATTATCCTGTTTTTGTTGTATTATACTTTAAAAACAGCAATCAAAACCTTATGTAAACTGCTCTGAAAGGTCTGGTCTGAAAATCAGTATAAAAATACTATAAATAGAGATACTGCTGAAGTTCACCAGCCTCAGGCCCAGAAAGAAGCTTGGGTTAGTCTCAAAGGGAGAGACAAGTATTATGAACCCAACTTCTCCAGCTTGGATTAAAAGGCAAGCCAGATAAGATTTTTTCCATTTCGTATGTTGGCTCAAAAGAAAGCAGCTACGATGGGTCATAAGCCCATCCCCTGTAGTCGTCTTTTATGTGGTTCAGTTTTCTAGACTAATGCTGTACATAGGTGTCACCCAGGAGAAAAATCCTGAATCTAGCATTGTGCATGTGCTGTGCTCCTTCCTGGATTAGCAGGTAGCTAGTCGAGAACATCACCTTTGACACTTGTTCAAAAGCAGTGGTAGTCTTAAAATATCTTCTTACAGAAAGATCAGGCATGGTTAACTAGAATATTATGTTCAGTGTAGTTATATTATTCAAGTCCAAAAAATCTTACCATTACTTGCTTTCTTAGCTGGTAAAGTTGAAGTTTTATTTTCTTTTTTATTTTTGCATTAAAAAGAGAGAGAATACATGTTAAAACTACGTAAGTACAAAATACAAAAATACTAATGCATACATATTGGTTGTTTTGATGTTACAGAGGGTCTAAGCAAGTGGAGACTTTGGAATTCCAAAGATAATATCTCCATCATCAGTGAACAACTTTGCCTATTTTGCAAGGATTGGGTTCAGCTCACTTTATCTACATTGTACCCAATAAGTTGTTCCTGTTAAATTCAAAAGCCATCTCCACATACTGGTTTCTATTCTTGCTTTTACTGTGATATTTCCTCTTCCAAGCATCCCAAATGCTTTACTAAATCAAAGGTTAATTAAAATGCAGTAACTACAATATTTCCCCTTACTGCTAGATGTGGGTTGAGGTGGTTCACAATCTTATCCAATGCATGTTGGATAAATAGACCTGGATGTTTTACCAAGAATGTTTGCCTTTACCTCATTTTCTGCTCGAAGTGCTGAAAATTCACTCTTTTCCAAAATAATCATGTCTTTTTTCACACCACCAATATGAGACATTATCTGCTGAAGAGCAATTTCCTTTAAAAGAAAAAAAAATTACTTCAGTCTAATATCACCAATGCCAATAAGATGTTTTCCTCTACTGTACAGCAAATCTTCTAAGCAACTAGTACTCCAGTATTTGCTCTGTCTGAAGGTTTCATCCAGCACCCAACCAAACTCAAAGAGAGCCCTGTTTTTCCCAGTCTACCCAGCTAATGTTCAGAGGAAGAGAAGGATGGGGATAATATGGGTGGAAAGGTAGAAATTTTATTGTGCAGTAGCATCTAGACCATACTGCACAATGAACTAGGTCAGGGGTGGGGAACCCTTGGCCCTCCAGATGTCCATTGTTCCTCATCATTGTCCATGCTAGCGGAGGCTGATTGGAGCTTGAATCCAACACCATCCGGAAAGCTACAGGTTACTTGCACTCAGGCAGTCTATTCAGTTCATGCATGAACATTTTTACATCAGTAGCCAGACCATACACTGGTGTTGCTGAGGAGACCAATGATCAAGCCCCTCAGGGGATCCACAGCTGCTGGCATCCCACCCTGAAACCACCCCTTTCCAAGGGTCACTGCAGGCTACTGCTGTCAGAATCTTATTGCCTGACTGGGTGTAGCGCAGCAAAGGTAAGGGGGTTTAGCACTGGACAGAAAATGAAGTAATATCAAACTATTAGAAATGACATATCGTAATTGCTAACAACAAAGGGATTTGTTTTTGCTCCAGCTTTTAAAACAGCAATTAACAATAAATATTTAAGAAATTTCCACATTCATTTATACCTGTTGCACTTTTGTGACCATGTCTTTGTATATCACATTCATGTTGTTATTTATGATGTTTATTAAAGCAGACACAATAATCTCAGACTGCTGAGTAGTGAATCCTAGAATACAGAATATTGCAAAATTCAGAAACCTCTATATGTTGCTAAACATTAGCTATATACATTTCATATATAACTAAACAGAAACATAACATTCACATAAACAAAGGCTGCTGTAGGAATTATTTACAGAACAGCCTGAAGTTTAAAATGGAAGATTGTAGCTTCTTTAGAGCCTCTATGAAGATTTGATGTCCTATACAAGTGTACATATCTAACAGCATAATATCACAGACATGTACTCAGAAGTCCCCCATTAGCAGGGGTTTAGGAATGCAGTATAAATAAATCTAGTCCTCCAAAGAGTTTTGCAATATTGGAACATGAGGAAAATTCAACAGTTTCACAAAAATTACATGAAAGTACTGGCACAGACAGAAGAGGAAAATACAGTTTTCGCATGGAAACATTTTTGTGAAGTTACATTTCATTCAGTTAGAGCTAATGCCCATAATCAAAACAACATGCATAGAAAGTGACTGCACTTTTGATTGAAGAGAAACAGATTTTTTTGCGGGGGGGGGGATCCACAGTTACTAATATCAATGTTTACAATTTACATATTAACAATCACTGCAAAAGAATTACCATTTTCTTCTAGAAGGCATACAAAGGCATGGGTGTCAAAATAAAGCTTCCTGTTTCCTGATGGGGGAAAACTACTCTTGTTTTCAAGTTGTGGATATGATGCATGGATATTCACATCTAATTAAAAAAAAAAGGAAAATGCATAAAAGTAGTTAAGTGTCAACAGTAGAACAATAGCATACTGATATATGTAATTTACAAATCCCTCCCCTGGTTTACCGAACAACTCTACAGGATCCAACCCCAACCCCACCACAAACACCCAACATAGGCAGGGCCGGATTTAGGTTTGATGAGGCCCTAAGCTACTGAAGGTAATGGGGCCCTTTATATGTCCAGCTGTCCTTTGTTGACAACGAATTGTCGCTGTTTTTTGTGTTGAATTTCTTAAATTACTTACATCATAGGAGCCTACACAACAACAACAACAATTTATTATTTATACCCCCCCCCAATCTGGCTGGGGAAACCCAGAAAACACTGTTTTCTGTATGTAGAAAATACTGTATGGGAAAACACTGTTGCTGTATGTAGGTTTTATTTGTTTTTTATCTTATATTTTGAAAATGTACATCCAGTTCCCCCCAATAGAGTGGGGCCCTAAGCTTTAGCTTCTTGAGCTTATACGTAAATCCGGCACTGGATGGGCAACAGGGCCCTGAAACCAAAACACATTTCACAAACATTTACGTATTTTATTCTCAAAGTAAGCAGGGGCGGCGCTCAAGAGGCAAACGTTTCTCTCGAGTTTGACAGCAGCCCTGAGAACCGAGTCCCAGAAGTCGCCGTGAAGCCCCAGCCTCGCCCCTTCCTCGCCCCCTCCGCTCCGGGCTGGCCTTTCAACCGCTCTCACCTCGCGCCCCAGCGGCTGGGCACCGGCCCCCCGCGCCCAGGCTGAGGAAGCAAAGCCCCGTCCCGCGCCGGCCTCCCGGGAAGGAGCTCGCGCCGCCGCCGCCCCGCCCGAGTCCCGGCGCGAGGGAGCCGGTGCGCTTCCAGTCTCCTAGGCAACGGCGGGAGCGGGCGGGGCCCGGCGGGAGGACGAAGCCGCGCGGCCCTTGCGGAGCCAAAAAGCCCTTCCTCGCGCTCTCCACCGCCGCGGCGGCCGCGGCCTGACCTCTGACCATCACCCCGCTTCGCCTCCCGCTCGAGGTCAAGGCCTAAGGGCTGCTTCGCCTTGGTCGTTTCCTAGCCGCGTCATTCCCTCCGTCTGGCTGCCCAACCCAGCGGCGCAGTGGTTCCGGCACAAACATGTTCCGCCCTCCTCGCCGGCCGCGGAGGAGACGGGCTCTTTTCGGAGGGTGCTGATAACGCGCCGCCACCCACTTCAAGTGGTGCTGCTTCTGTGACACACGGCGCTCCTCGCAGGGGTGGAGACTGGGAGGAGGAGGAGGAGGAGGGAGGCGTTGCTCAGCTCGCTCAGCCTCGCTGACAGAGGTTGACGTTTGCCAGGGAGAAAACTAACCCGCTGCTTGTTCCGGGGCGTCCGCGGGGCCCCTCCAGGAATAGGTACAAGTCGTGTTCCCATGAGCTTTAATGGGGGGGACAGCAAGGCTTAAACCTTTCCAGAAGGGAAAACGGACGGCCACTGTCTTCTTGCTTTGTTTCGTCTCCTCTCCCCTTTCAGGGTTTTTCGTATACAGTGCTTTTTTCTGGGGGTACGCATACCCCTAAACATTTTGTGAATCTAAGTTTGACCTCATTGAGGGGCAGTATTTCAATATGAGTAGGAAAATGAGAGTACCCCTAAAAAAAATTTAGGGGGGGGAATGCACTCTCTCTGTGTGTATAAAAAATTATTTGTGATTTTCAGTTATATATGTGTACATATTTATAGACACACAGACAAGAACACACAGTCTACAGAAGTAACTTCTGGGTTCAGTTTTAAACATTGGGGAGAAGTGAATTGCTGCGAAAGGTGGCAACGAGGATGGGAGTTTATGATCTTTCTTACGCGATCTTATTTCATACTGCAAACATGACCCCTGTATATTGCAAAGGTAAAAAGATATGCACAGGTGTGAGGAAGAATCGGTTTATTGTCTCTTTAGCATATTGAAACAATTAAAACATTTTTTTAAAAAAATTGTGATTTTCAGTTATATACGTTTCAATAGTTTTACAGTCATTTTAACAGTTCAAAACTCGACTACCTTCCTCCTCTTTCTGCAGTTCCTTAAATTTATATTTATCATTTCCTGCATATTCTAAATTAACTTAATTTATTCTTTTATTCATCTACTTTATTTACTCTCATGAAGCAGCAGGTTGTTGCAGTAATCCTGCCAATTTACAATTTTTTTGTATATATTCAATTAAAACATTTCTTAATACCATTAAGTAATGGCAGTAACTTTTGATATGTATGAGTTTTCTTGTAGTTTTCTTTTTAGTCTGAGCCTTTTACTAGATGTTAGAAGATTTCCTTTGATATTTAGTCTTCAAAGAATCACTCACTGCTTGTGACTATATATTTTTTTTATAATATTTTTTATTGCTTTTTTTCCAAGGTCAAGATACATCATCAATAACACAACAAAAGCGGTTTTACAGAGAAAAAAGAAGAGATTGTATACAAGAAAATTCACTTTTCCAGATCTTTTTTCATAATCAACTAGACTTCCCCAGATCTTCCGTCCCTGCTTTCTTTACAATAAAAATAAACAGCAAATTGCAACCTTGTTTCATATGTTTTTGTACTTTCTTCTAGTTATATATTCTAAAATTTAAAGTTTTCACAGTCATAACTTAGTTTCCATCATTTTCAAATCTCAATACTGAAGCATGTTTTTCCCAAAAACTTAGCAAATTCTCAACATTCATATAACTTGTAGTGTTTTTGTAGGTAGTCCTTAAATTTTTTCCAGTCCTCTTCCACTGCCTCTTCTCCCAGGTCTCGGATTCTGCCAGTCATTTCGGCTAATTCCATGTAGTCCATCAGTTGCGTATGCCACTCTTCCAGCGTGGGTAACTCCTGTGCCTTCCAATATTTAGCTATAAGGATTCTTGCTGCTGTCGTTGCATATAAAAAGAAAGTTCTATCTTTCTTTAGTACTCTCTGGTCCACAATGCCCAGGAGGAAGGCCTCTGGTTTCTTATGAAAGGTATACTTATATACCTTTTTCAACTCGTTATAAATCATTTCCCAAAAAGCCTTCACCCTCGGGCATGTCCACCAGAGGTGAAAGAATGTTCCTTCAGCCTCCTTACATTTCCAACATTTATTATCTGACAAATGATATATCTTTGCAAGTTTGACTGGGGTCATGTACCACCGGTATATCATTTTCATAATGTTTTCTTTTAAGGCACTACATGCCGTGAATTTCATACCGGTGGTCCATAACCTTTCCCAGTCTTCGAACATAATGTTGTACCCAATGTCTTGTGCCCATTTTATCATAGCTGATTTAACCTGTCTCATCTTGAGTATTCCATTTAAGCAACAAGTTATACATTCTTGAAAGCACTTTCGTCTTAGGTTCAAGTAGTTCTGTCTCTAGTTTTGATTTTTCCACCTGGAAACCAACTTTTTTTATCCTTTTTAAAGATCTCTGAAATTTGGGCGTAGTGAAACCAGTCTCGCACCTTTCCTTTCAACTTTTCAAAACTCTGCAACCTCCACGTGTCACCAACTCTTTCTATTATCTCAGAGTATTTTGCCCAGCCACTCTCCATGTTAAGTAGTTTTATGGCCTTAGCCTCCATTGGTGATAACCACCTCGGAGTCTTACTTTCAAATAAGTCCTTATATTTAATCCAGACAATGAATAAAGCTTTCCTGACAATATGGTTTTTGAACAACTTGTGAAACTTTATCTTGTCGTACCACAAATATGCATGCCACCCAAAAGCATTGTTAAACCCTTCCAGATCTAGGACATCAGTGTTTTCTAACTAAAAACCAATCCTTCATCCAGCAGAAGGATGCAGCTTCATAATACAATCTTAAGTCCGGCAGGGCAAACCCCCCTCTTTCCTTTGCATCTGTTAATATTTTAAATTTTATTCGGGGCTTTTTGCCCTGCCAGACAAACTTCGCAATGTCCCTCTGCCACTTTCCAAAACATTCCACTCTGTCCACGATCTGAAGGGTTTGAAACAGAAACAACATTCTTGGCAATACATTCATCTTAACTGCTGCAATTCTTCCCAACAAGGAAAGTTTCAATCTTGACCAAGTTTCTAAGTCCTTTTTAATTTCCGACCAACATTTTTCATAATTGTCTTTAAACAAATTCAAATTTCTCCCAGTCAAGTTGACCCCCAGGTATTTCACTTTTGTAACCACATTTAGTTCTGTTTCCTTCTGAAACCCATCTATTTCTGAAGTTGTCAGGTTTTTTGCCAAACCTTGGTTTTTTGTTTGTTCAATTTGAATCCCGCCACCCGACCAAACTCAGAGATTGATTCTAAAGCTCTTTTTGTACTGGGTTCTGGCTCCTGTAATGTCAAAACCAAATCATCTGCGAAAGCCTTCAGTTTGTATTGTTTTCCTCCGACCTGTATTCCTTCCACCTGCTGATCCTTCCTAATCATGTTCAGCAACACCTCCAGGACAGAAATAAATAGCAAGGGTGATAAGGGGCACCCCTGTCGTGTCCCTTTTTCAATTTTAAACTCCTCTGTCACCACATTGTTTACTATCAATTTAGCTTTTTGTTCTGAATAGATTGCTTCAATACCATTTTGGAACGCCCTCCCACTCCCATCCCTTCCAAATTTTTCTTCATAAATTTCCAAGATATATTATCAAAGGCCTTCTCCGCGTCTATGAATATCAAAACTGCTTTCGTATTCAAATTTGTCTGTAGTAACTCCAAAACATCAACGATATTCCTGGTGTTGTCAGACAGATGCCTGCCAGGGAGAAAGCCAGCTTGGTCTTTATGAATTACTTCATTTAATACTTTTTTCAGTCTATTTGCCAAAATATCAGCAAAAATTTTGTAATCCACATTTAGGAGTGAGATGGGTCGGTAGTTCTTAAGTTGAGTCTTTTCAGATTCCAATTTTGGTATCAAAGTGATGAATGCCTCTCTCCACGATTCTGGTGCCCCCTTTCCCTTCCATAATTTGGTTACATACCTCCATTAGTGGCTGAACCAAATATTCCTTCAATGTCTTATAATATTTGGAGGTAAGTCCATCTGGGCCTGGGGATTTGCCTAATTGCATATTCTGAATGGCGCTTTCAATTTCCTGTTGTGTTATTTTGTAATTCAGGGATGTTTGTTTATCCTGTGTTAGTTTTTGCAGGCCATGGTTTTTTAAGAATTTATTTATGTCGGTCTCTACTTGGGGTTCTTGAGTAAACAATTTTTTGAAATATCTCTGGAAACACTTTCTAATATCCTCTGGTTTCTGAATACATTCTCCTTCAACCTCCAAATTGGTAACAAAGTTCAATTTTTGTCTCTTTTTCAGCTGCCATGCCAGCAGCTTCCCACATTTATTTGCCGATTCAAATGATCTTTGTTTCATCTGTTTAATTTTCCATTCAACTTCTTGATTTATCAATTTCGCATATTGTGCTTGATGGAATTTTATTTCTCTTAAAACTTCTTTTGATTTTGGGTTTAGTCTCAACTTTTTCTCTCCGTCTCTTATCTTCTCCAAAATCTTGTCCTTTTTACCATTCCAGAGTTTTTTCTTGATAGTATTCTGTTGTATCAGGAACCCTCTCATAACAGCTTTACTTGCGTCCCAGATTGTTTTCTTTTCCACCGAAGTATTCAAATTTATTTCGAAATAATCTTTCAACGTTTTTTGGGCCTTCTTCACAATCTCCTGATCTCTAAACAAATAGTCATTCATTCTCCATCTGAAGGATCCAGCTGGTGTAAGTCTCAAGTCTATTTTCAAAGCGTTATGGTCGGAGCAGGTTTTAGGGCAGATCTCTACTTTTTTTGTCTTAGGTGCCAGTCCTCTAGATGCCCAAATTTGGTCGATTCTTGTCCACGATAGATGGGCCTCAGAAAAGAATGTTCCTTCTTTACCTAGAGGGTTCTTTGTCCTCCAAATATCAATCAAATCCATATTGTCTGTAAGTTCAAAGAAAGTCTTTGGAAGTCTGCCATCTTTGGTCAAATTCTGATTTTGTGACTTATCCATGTATGTGGAGACAACTCCATTCATATCACCCATCAAAATGATGTTAGTATAGTCAATATAGTCCAACATTGTCTCATGCAGCTTCTTATAGAATTCCGATTTCCCATCATTTGGTGCATAGATTCCTACAATCAAAAATTTTTCTCCTTGTGCTTGAATTTCAATCGCCAAAATTCTTCCTTGTTCATCTTTAAAAATCAATTTTGGTACTAGGGTCTCCTTTGCATAAATCACTACTCCTCTTTTT